CGATTTGATTTGAAACTGTCTCATTGCTATATGTTTATCAATAAAACTTTGAAAAGAAAAAAAAACAGTAAGAAGAAAATAAAATGTAAAAAAAAAAAAAAAAAGACTTAGCTCTTGTTTAGTGCTTTTGAACTGAACTCTCTTGTAAGGAGGGGAAAAGAGGAATGGAATGAGGGATAGATTGGACGTCACTAGCTCTTGGACTTAATGTCATCCAGTATCAACTCACCTAAATTGTGGCTTCATAAACCACACTTATTTTTAAATCAGTAACCAGGGTATCTACATTCTACTACTGCTGAGAGGGCATAGCTTGGTTCACCCTGGCTCTGTGATACTGGGATTGGGGGCCATTTCCTGGTTGGAGCAGGCTGGTGTACACCCACATGTGGCCCCATTTTCAGGGTTCATATATTTACATATTATTGACAGTAGATAAAGCCTCTCCACCACCATCCCCTGTAGTCTACTCTGCTTAACAGAAACAACCCACTTGGAATTGAGCATCCTCAGCCCATTAGAGGTACCAAGATGTGCCAGTGAGTGTGGGGATGGCCAGGCTCTTCAGTTATGGCTGCCAATGTAGATGCACATGACAGAAAACCTTCCCCATTGCTTTAGGTTTCAACAGGAAACCCAGTCTTCTTTCCTGTGTCACACACATTCTCGTGTCCACTCTGTGGCTGTTGTAATCCACTCCCCAGCTATGTTTCTCTTCAGTTATCCTGGACTCACTTTATATAGAAGTGCACAGCATCCTGTGAAGCACTCAAGACAATTCAGTGTTTCTATATTTCAATGAGCCCTTTAATGTCTAAAATAGAAACTTGATCTTTTTTTCATTTATATTTTCCACATTTTACATAAATTAATGCTTGTAACTCCTTTATACTATTTTTCCAAGTGGAGTGACTGTCATAAAAACATGTTAGTTATCAATCTTCAAGTACTATGGTTAGAAATACATTGTTGCCTATATTTCTGAGCAGAAAGTAGTATGCATGCGTGCTCCCTTGGAGGGTCTGAGTGTTTAAGCCATGCCAGTAGGAGCTGGGGCACAGGGAAGCTCTGTGTCGTGAGTGCTCCAGAGTCCCAGTCTGGAGGGAGTTCAGTTGCGCACAAGCTGGGTCTACCACCACAAACACAAATCCCAACTTAACTTTAATTTAGTTTAATTTACCTAAAAGGTGTTAGGCTGGATTGGAAAGATGAATCTAGCTCATTTGAGAAGTTATCTTTGGGGACCGGGGAGACAGCTCAGTGGAATAAGCTCTTCTCTGGTAAGCACAAGGGCCTGAGTTCAATCCCTGGTTCCATCAAAAAAAAAAAAAAAAAAAAAAAAAAGTGAGAAGTATCTTTTAATAATGTAAATTCAGAATGAGAAATGTAATTCACTGTGAAGTTGACATAGCCTTTTGTTTTTTTAAATTCTGTATTATGAAGCATTTCAAACACAACAATTAGAAAAGGATGGTGAATACTGTGTGTATCATTGCCTGGTTTCAGTAGTTATTAATGCTTTGTCAATTATGTTTTATTCAGAGTCTTCCCTTTCAGTAAAATAAACTTCAGGCAGCATCTTGATCCATCTGTAAATACTCAGCACTTATGTCTGCCTTGTAAGGCCTTCTCTTACTGTAACCTTCATTACGTATTATACTTCTAAAATTACTAATTTTCAAGTGCCTTGGACTCCCTCATCTTTATATCTCCCTGATTATCTAAAAAATACTGTCTTACAGATTAGTTGTTCAAATTAGAATTCATGAAAGGTTTGTGCAGTGAATTTAGCTGTTCATATCTCTTATTTTCTTTATAAATATTTATATATTTTTCTTTGGATTTCCTTATAACTCATCAAGGAGGTTTAAAGGAAAAAATTCCTACCAAAATGAATGTTTTGGGCCGGAGAGATAGCTCAGTAGAATAATGCTTGCCTTGCAAGCTCAAGGGCTGAGTTCAATCCCTGGTTCCACCAAAAAAAAAAAAAAAAGAATGTTTTAGGCTTTGTCTTTAAGTCATTAATTTGTCCATTCTCTACATTTTCAGATTCATACATGTTTAATGCTGAAATGTAGAAAGAAGGCTGGGAAAAAAACATTTTCTGTTTGTGGTTCAAAAAACAGTCATGAATTGATTTTCTTATTTAAGGGCAGAAACCAAGTGTACACATTTTGCCTCTTCCTGTCAGAGTTCAAATAGGCCTATATTATTACATTTTCAAGCTATACTGCAATTTGGCCTAACAAAAATATTACTTAATGCATTCAAAATTTGTAAATAATGAAGCATGTGCTTCTGAGATTTTATCTTTTTTGCTTTTCAGGTTTTGGACTTGTGTTTCTGTATAATAAATTCAAATTGAACAGTATTTTCTTAACCAAAATGGGGATTTAAATTTTTCTACTGTTAGCAATTAACATACCTAAATAGCATATCCATTTGATAGTATTTCTTTTAAATTCAGCCTCATAATTGAAAATCATTTTCCTTTGTAAAATAGTTGAGCCAAGTGTCTGCTTCATTTTTAATACTTACTTTTCTATCTTAGCCAGTTGAAGCATTACTTTCTTTCAACATAGGTAGGAGTGCAGAAGGGACTTACACTGCCGCCACAGTTTTAGCACTACCATCTTCAATTTAAATTGTGCAATGCTGCTAAAATGCCTCAAGATTTTACCATTTCTTTTTTTAAACTCTCAGTCTTGTGATATCTTTCCTTTCTTAGGACATGAACGAGTCTGCCAAACAAGAAGATATTTTGGAATCTACAACAGATGCTGCAGAATGGAATCTAGAAGTTGAACGTGTACTACCACAGCTAAAAGTCACGATTAGGACTGACAATAAGGTATCAAAGAGAAAGCACATTTTGTTTAAGAAAGATTTTTAGAAGGCAGTTTTAGAGTGGGAGTACTCCAAATTGCACAAACTGGAGAACAGTGATAAGGTTCAGTTTCTAGTGTTTTGTCTTACATAGAGGCTTTAAAAGCTGTTGAATGGATAAATAATGTATTATAGTCCAACATGTAAAAAATATTTCTCTGAAAGAATGATTTGGAACGCATCATATTTCACTGGGATTGAGAGATTTTTCTCAATGTGCTTTGATACATTTTCTTGGAAATCATCCTTTGTTGAGGTGAATCCCATGACTATACCAACTGATTGAAAAATGGAGTACAGCTCTGCTGAATAACAAAACCAAAGGCAGGTTTTGGGCAGTCTATTCAGCACATGTGACTGAAGGTCCAAGTGAAGAAGATAATCCAGAAACCACATGTAGTAGGATTTGGGAACTAAGCCAAATGAGCTAGCTATTGTATCAATTTTCTGCTTCCATTTTCACTTATTTGTGTAATAATGGCTTCAGGACAAGCAAATAGGTGACTAGATAGTGCTGTTCCCATTAGCAGAACAACAACCCCACAAAGATTTTTAAAACTGAAAATAAGGGGCCGGGGAGATGGCTCAGTAGACTAAATACTTCCCTGGCAAGTGCAAGGGCCTGAGTTCAATCCCCAGTTCCGCAAAAAAAAACTGAAAATAAGGAGTCTTCTCCTTAAAGGATATAAACCCCTAGAATTATGGCGCTGTGAATCTCAAGAAGCTCACCACTCTGAAATTGTGGTTTTGTCTGCCTCCAAAGTAGAAGCCCTGCCCTGGGTACTATTTTCAAAGTGTCTTGGGAGCTAATTCATTCTTAGAATGTATTCCAGAGCAGGTAAGAATATACTGAAGGGGTCTGAGAATAAGAGAAGGGGAAGAAGGGTAGAAAGCATTCTTTCTGGACTATGAACAGCTATGGAGGAGGACGAGGAAGCAGAGGAAGGAAAGTGTTCTGACCAGCCTGTAAGCAGCTATGAAACAAATTCTATCCAAGATCAGTGGCCAATCCTGCAGCCTGTTTTCCAGATAGTTGCCCAATCAGGATGGGTACAGCTGTTATTTATATTGTAGATACATTCATTTTTTAAATGTCTGTCATATATAAATATATATCAATAAGAATTTTCATTGATTAGATCTTTGCAAGAAATTTTAAGTTTTAAAAAGATTTCTGGGGGCCAGGGAGATGGCTCAGTGGAATAAGCGCCTCCCTGGCAAGCGCAAGGGCCTGAGTTCAATCCCCGGATGAAAAAAAAAAAAAAAAAAAAAAAAAAAAGATTTCTATTTTTGCAAAAAGTGTAATTCCTTTTTTTAAGTACTGGGAATCAAACTCAGGACCTTGTGCTTGACACGCAGGCACTGTGCCCCTGAGCTATATCCCCAGCCCTAAAAAAATATAATTCCTAACTCTTTGCTTTTTTTGTTTCTTAATTCATTTAGTGCAGGGGATACAGGGTCTATAGGGTCTCACTACGTAGATCAGACTCATAGTGGTCCTCCTGTTTTCAGCCTCCCAAATGCTAGGATTACAGGCATGTGCCATAACACCCATTCTCAATCTCCATCTCAGCTCGCCCCAGGGGCGGGGCCATCATGGCAGGCTGGGTATCGAACCCCAGCTGCTGCACACTGCCTAAGCAGGCACTTTAGTCAGCCTAAAGAGCAAATTCTGTTCATAAAATTTAAAATCATTATTATTATGATTCTTGGTAGAATAGCATGTTAAAATAATTCTGCAGCAGGGAACTCTCAAGCACAGTTTAATCCCAGAAGAAAGCAAGGGTAATTCGTTTATTGAAACTAAATAACCTGTTGAAGTCAAACATATCATTTACAGCCTAATAGGGACTTTTTGGTTTCTATTTTAGCACAATCATTCCTTTCTACATAATAGAATAACTTAAAAAAGAATATGCATGTAATTGAAAGCACATACTGTACTGTTTTACAAAACTAAATGCAAGTCAGACCTGCATTGCAGTAATCAAAATTCTGAGTTTGTGGAGAATCCGTGCTCTGATTGGGAAAGAATTAACTAATGGAAAGTAGGACTCATTTTCATGCGTACTATCAGCCTTAATCTTGTGAGGATATTCTGTGCCAAAGGATTTACACAATCAAGTTTACGGGCAGCATTCCAGAGCACCAGATAATGTTCTTTCTTTCAGTATTCTTTACACTATGCAGATATCATTTTGAATTTAGATTTTTATGGTAAAATATAACTGATTTCAGGTTATAACTTTAAGAATTCTGCTGTAGAACATTTGAAGACTTCGTGTAGGGTTTTGCAAAGCATTTTTGAAAATTTTTCAGATGAGATATGAAGCTTTATTGTCAATCCTTCATTCAGCTTACTCAACGTAAAATAAGGAAGGGGATTACGTATAAAACAAAAACGATAATGAATAGAAAATAAAAATAAAATAATCTGGTTACATGTGAGGCTTCTACTTATTTTATTCTTTCATCAGAAGCCAACTTTATACCATGTTAAATCCCATCCTACCTCAACTCCTGAGTTTATTAAAATCACAATCTCTCCTTTTGTTTCGGCCAACACAATAACCTTTAACTGGCTGTATAGACATTTAAAAATTCCTACTTTGAGTTTGAGACGGAAAAAAATTGTTTTGGGATGTTTTGCTGGCCACTGTTGGATATGTTTTTAATAGCTTAGGCTTTGTGGGAGATAAGAAATAAAGGTTCTGATTATTTTAATCCATATGAATTTCTTTAAAATGGCTTTTCATTAGTGGTAAATAAATCCCATCTTTATTTGGTACTCATTCAAGTACTTGTTTTGCTTTTTTCTCTCACCAGTTCAATTTATTCCTTCTGCTTTCTAACAGTGAATTACCAAAAAAAAGAAAATGTCTTTTTGTTGTGTTTTTAATCATTGTAATATACATGCTTTGATAAGATTCTAGCATATATCAGTATTTCTTTTTGTTTATTCCTCATAATGTTGCCGTCAAGTTTTTATTGCTAAACTAGCTTATCCCTGTTGCCTGATACCATTCACTTCTGTTGCCAGTTTTCAAAGAATATAAACTCATTTTAATATTAGCTTAAACAAAATAAAATTAAAAAGGCAGATATGTTGCCAAAAATATAAATAATATGTCGCACAACTGAAGATAAAAGAGTCTTTGTTATTTGCTGATTTCACTGGACTCCATTAGTAATTCCCTTTAAGGTCATCGTACACCCAGAGCCCAGGTCAGATCTGCCCCAAATTGAAATAATATTTCTGAAGTCACAGTGCAAAGTTCTACCAAGAGTCAGTATAAATGAGTTCATGCCGCTCCAGGAAGTCCTCAGAGGTGAGAAAGTGGGTGAGCCTTGTGGCTAAAGAACTAAACTTGAACTAAAATCCACACTGTTGCAACCAAGAATCACTTAAGTGATTGTTAGTGTCCTGTAATTCTACATTTTATATTTGCTGTCTCACTTTCCCTATGTTTTTCTCATTTCTTTTACTCTGTTCTCAGTTTTTATCCTTTTTTTTTTTTTTTACAGTGTAACAAAATGTATTTTCATAAGTAATTATGGGCAAGTAATACATTTCAAGTATTTCAAAGCATTTTGCATAGAGAATTTATAGACCACATTTAAAAATATAATCTAGTTGTTAAACAAAAATTTTAAAAAAAATCTTGTTGTTTAAGAACTTCAGGGCCAGGGAGATAGCTCAATAGAATAAACACTTGCCTAAGAAGCGTAGGGTCCTGAGTTCAATCCCCCGTACTGCAAAAAATTAAAATAAAAAAGAACTCCAGCCTAATTTTCAAAAGAACCAAAGTATTAAATCTTTTTATGGCACTAGACACCATAAACTTATCTATGAAAACAGCAGGTAGATTTTTTTTTTTAATTTTATTTATTTATTTATGTGTGTGTATGTGTGTGTGTGTGTGGCCAGCTCAGCCCACCAGGGGGCGGGGCTGGCTGGCATGTGGTGCTGGGGGATTGAACCCTGGTCCCTGTGATTTGCTAAGCTTGTTCTAAGTAGGTGCTTTAGACCACTGAGCCATCTCACCAGCCCCATCAGGTAGACTTTTGTGATAAAAGAACAGAAAAAAAAGCTAAGCCAAAAAATTCAGACTGGGAATTTGAAACTAGCTGGTCAAATGAGGCCTAATAGCAGCCTTTGTTTATCAGATTTTATCAAAAATTCCAAACATAGCACATTTATTCTTTAGCAAAACTTCCTTTTGATAACTGAAAATCTTGCAATTTTTTCATGCTTGTGAAAAATACCTGTTAATTTCAAGTACCGATGTTACCCTTGAGATGTGGATGGTCCTGTACTTTTGCTCTAAGTGAACCTGGGTCTGTTACAGGGACACTGAAATGTGCTAAGAAAACTATTGGTCTTAGAGAAGGTTTACTCATGAATAAACTATTAGCCATTTACTGACCATGTATACTTCCAGCTCTAAGAACAACCAGACAGATAAGACCCCAGCTCTAGACTGACCCTTTTATAGCACAGCAGGTCAGGCAGCACTTCTGAAGCACCATGACCTATCAGCACAGCTTTCAATAGTGCCCAACACTGATTTTCCCTGTAAGCAGAAATAAAATACTTTGTTATGGACAGACTTTTTGAATACTCATAACGGGCACTTTCTGGTGTGTAGGTGGACAAGATATATCCTTTGCTTTCTAAGACTTTATCAAGTACTTTGCTTTCCATTTCAATTTATCTAACATTCTCCACAGTTCTGACCCACTGGCATTCCGTGACATTCTGTACAGTTTCCCATTGCCATTACTGTAATCCCTGCCATTCATTCCTCTTTGCCACAGCCTAGAAATCCCCCATCTTTGCTGGTTATGTACTTGAGTGATTAATGTTAGCACTTCCCCAAAAGTTACGTCTTCAATAAATGTAACTCATCAGGATTTCTGATCCCTACTTCTTCAAGCTTCGTGGTGAACTTCAGATAGTCCCTG